AAGCGAGGGGAGGCCGGCGAAGCGAAAGAAACCGGCCCCCGCCGGAGGCAGGAGCTTCCATTCGCTGGGGGTTCTGTCGTGGCGGAGACTGTCGGGACGGCCGCCCCCGACAGGCCAACCCCGTCGCCAAGAAAGATCACCTTCCCGCGCGAGGGGCCAACTGTGCAGCGGACGTCTCTGCACGCGTAGTCGCGGATCCCGTCAGAGCGCCTTATCGCCGCCTCAAATTTGCCTTGGTCCCAGCAGTACGGGAAGAACCTCCCCAAGTCCGGGTTCTCATCCTTCACACGCATGACGAGCACCTCCGAAGGGTTTGCCTGCAGGAAGGACTCCACCTGTGCCATGATGGCCTCGAACGTTTCCGAGATGAGCCCACCCAAGAGCAACGGATGGCCGTGTACAACGTACAGGGTTGCATTCATGAAAGTCAGGCGGATGTCGAGGAACCGCACGCCGGCCTCCAACTGCGTCTCCACGTCGGCTGTCTGGCACTGGTGGGACAAGGCCCCCTCGTACGCGTAGGTGCCGCTGTCGTGCGTCCCCGGGAGCGTCAGCTCCAGAAACACGCGTCTGCCGTCGTCCAGGCGGGACATCCACTTCGGCCGCTGCCCCGCGAGGCTGCGCCCGTAGCCGGGGTCCGCGCCCACCGTCCCAAAGCCGCACGCCACAGCGAGGCAGCCAAAAAAAACAATAAGCGGCGCCATCGCGTTCATTTCCTTCCTTGTGTCTGCAAGAGGAGGGGAGCGGGGCGGCATGGCACAGCAGAGACAACTCCAGCACTTTTCACAACAACAAAAAACACAAAGGCAAAAGCAACCGCGCACAGGCTGCAGATGCGGGCTGCTGCGCCGCCCCACGGGCATGTGCCGTCCGCGCCTTTGGGTCCCTTCTCGGGTCCGCACGGCGGCGGCGGGGAATGCGTGCGCTCCGTCGCCCGGGAGGCGTGCGAGGCGCCCCGCAGTTTCCATCCCACGGCTCCGCAGGAGGGCGGCAGTTCGAAACAAGCCACAGGCAGCCCAAGTGGCGGCAACAGCCTCCGTGCATTTCGGCCGCTGCGCTTCAAGGCGGCGCAGAAGTCGCGGAAATCCCTAAACCCGCCCCGGCAAGAGGCGCAGCGCGGGTCATGCCCGCACGGGGGGGGCGGTCTAGCCTGCGGCGAGTGCACCGCACACGGCAAAACTGCCCCGCCGCCCCCACCGGCATCCGTTCGCCAGAGCTCAACCCAACCGTGCGGTGTCGCAGTGCCGTGCTTTTGCCCACCCAACACACAAAGGAAGGCAAAACTCAAGACATAAAAAAAATTATTTCGCCGCGGGGCAAGGAAGGATGCCACTGCGCACAGCAGGGCGGCGGCCGACGCGGCGACACATGCCACCCTCCCACGACAAAACAGCGCGAGAGCGCATGCGCTGCTGCCGCCGTTGGCTGCGCTTTACTCCCTCCTCGTCGGCTTGCTTCCGGGTTCCGGGCGCCGACGCGGGAGGGCTCCCCGCCGCAAAAAAAAAGAAAAAGGCGGTGCGCGGAAGAGAAAAAAGGGCGGCGGCGGCGTGTTGGCGTGCCGCCAGCAGCCACATCCGGCGCAGTTACGGCGAGGAACACCGCAAGTGCGGACCCGGCCGCAAGGGAAATGCACACAGACGCCGCAAGCGCCGTCAGTTCGGCCGCTGAAATGCGGGCGACGGCGCCTCTTCCGCCAATTGCCAGCGAACGTGTTCCTTCGCCCCCACAGCCACGCCGCGTGTGCCGCATGCAGCCCGGCCCAGTGGCGCCACTCCGGTGCCCATCTCCTCCCTGTTCCTCCTTTTTTTATTTCCCACTGCCTCCATTTCCCCCATGGGCAGGGGCGGGGATTTGTGCCGCCGGGGACGTCGCCTTCCCGCCGCAACTGCCGCGGTGGGGCGAAAGCAAAAGAAACACGCGCCAGCACGGAGAGCCCAGCCCTCGGGCCCGCCCCAAACAGAAAGAAGAACGGGGAGAGCCAACGGGGGCGCAACGCGGCAATTGTGCCTCGGCGCGCCCACGCACCGGGGGGGACGGGGTCCGCCCGCGCTGCCAGGGGGAAAACTCCGCAGACAGGCCCCGCAGGTAGCAAACAAGTAAGAGAGAAGAGGCACATCATCACCCCACGCCCCCGNGGGGCAGCGGCGAGGGAAGGGGGAAAGCAGTAATGTATATATATATATATATATGCATGTATTGTGGCCCCCACATGGAGAGACGTTCTACTGGGCAGTGGGGCGGGGCGGGGGACGAGGGGCGCGCGCAAACCGTGCGGGGCGGCC